CAGTACGTCACCTTCCCTGGCTCCGACAAACTGTCATGGCGACAACTATAACGCCAAACCTGAGGCTTAAAAAGGGTACTCCACAAACCAATGGGTGATGTCACCATAGGTCCACACTATGTTCACCAGCTAGCCGCTAACTTTGTCTTTCTGCTGTTTGGTGTTGGGCAGGTAGTTTAAGGGGAGATTAAAAAACCTTTTGATTGAAAGCAGTTGCCTGCTAAGCCTGGACACTGGACCAAAACTGTTAAGTCGTTGTAACCAAAAGAATTAGCTGAAAGACATTAAAAAGCTCCACAGGGCTGAGGGGAATTACAGAGTCAGGTGATTCTTTACGGGTTTCTCACTACAAGCAACTCCTTTGCATTACACATAGTAATTTAAGATCCATCAGGATGGTGGTGGTGTTACTCACACAGCGGCATAGAGCCCTCCACAGCAGGAGTGGATAAATCCTCTCACTATGGTATGCAGAACAAACGCCACCACCTAACAGAGAAAGAACAACAGAGAACAGATTGATGAATGTTTACTAAAAGCATCACTGTGTGTTTATCTGTGTGTCTGTGTGTGTCTGTGTGTGTGTGTGTGTGTGTGTAAATTCATATTCACTGGTACTGTATTACCATGCATGGAAACACTGATCATTGTATTCCTGTGCAGTATTTTTCTAACCTGTAAGGGCATGTTGTCAATCATGGAAATTATTCCAAAGGTGACCAACAGGACATTAGTGAAGATGAAAGCTCTCATGGCATTGGTCAGTTTCTGGATCTTTCTGTCTCTCTTTGGGGGATCTGATTGGCTGAAGGGGACAAATGTCAAAAGAGGGTTACAACAAATGAGGAGGTGTGGATGTCACAGTATGTCACAGAGTATAAAGCTCTATACGTATAAACGTGGGGAGGAATCTGTCCATCTGTTAATGTAGTCGAGCAGCAACCAATAACTTGTTCACTGTACATATGTAAATATTCCAAGACACTGAAACTTCTAAAACCCTAACATATACAATAAACACCTCATCATACCTCTTCTCTGTTTGTGTGTTTGCGTTTTCCTCTTCACACTCCTTCATCCTCCAGTCCATGATGTAGCCAATCAGAGGACAGGTCAATAGACATAGCAGCTGCATTGAACCGAAGATAGATGAGTAGAAACCAACTGGGGATGACATACAGAGAGAGAGTGAAGTTCTCAGAAATGCATGTCATTTCTATCCAAGATGTCCTTAAAATGATCCATATTTGACCAGATATGGTATATGGCAACAAATCTTAGAATATTCATTGCAACTGGTCCATATTCTCTAGAGAATCCAGAGTAACAACATGACTTTCAGTCATATATGAAGTCAATATAGACTTCATGTGTATACATACAGATATACAATGTAATCTGTAGAAAAATAGAAAATGCATCAGGAATGGTCCGTATTCTACATACAGCATGTATTGTCAGGGCTTTGAGAAATAGTGAGGTCATGAAACCCAAATGTTTTGAGGTTTATTTCCCAATATGAAGATCTAAACGTTGTTTCAAACCCTCCCCACCCTGTTAGAAATACATTTTAGATGGAGAAATACTGGACTGTGGTGGAAAAACATTTGGTCTCATAGACTGTTAACTATAAATTATAAGCTCACACTTTTCTATTTGAAATAATAATCCTAAACTTCCCAAAACTGAACGAAATGCTTAGATATACGAAGTTTTACTGCATTTAAGTTTTTTTCCGTTTTTTTTAACACCCCTTAAAATCAAGAAGGCCTTTTGATCCCTGAGAAGCTTTGGTGACCCCTAGTGGGGTTCAAGACCCCCAGATGGAGAACCAGTGGTCTAAAGGCTCTCTTAAAAACATTTCTACACATTCTCACAAATATTCAATCATCAATTTACAGCCCACTTTTAACACACAAACGTCTTACCTTGTTCCTCAACCTCCTTCTGCAGCTCTTCTGATGCTAAAAGAGAAAACAGCTGCAGGTCAGGGATCACCACAGATGGTTTGACACAATGAAATGTTTGAATGTAGTTCACAACATCAATTTTGACCCAGCTTTTGTCAATATAAAATGACAGTAGTTGCTTCACATATAGTTTGATGACAAAGGAAACCTGCCAGCGTTTGTGACCAGTGCTCTTGCACTTAAATTGAAAAAAATGTTTATATTTACATGTGGGTTATCATTCTTACGGTTAGGGTCGCCATGGGTGACCAGAAACTCCAGCATCTTGTTCATGGCACCCATGAAGAAGATCAGCCTCAGTTGGGTCATTGCCATGGTGATGAGACTCCACAGGATGATGGGAGAGCACATAGAATGACAGAGCGGCACTTCGCCTAAAGATGGAGAGAAAGAAATTCCCAGAATACACTTTATAAAAAAAGTTTGCACAGTTTTGCTTTTTCATGGTGTTTTTACAGTGTGCCTAACCCGTGAAGGCCTGGAGCTGTTGTTACATTATTACCATGCAACACTTTAGAGGTTAATGGAGATTTTAATCATGTTCATTAAAGCAGTATCCTAATTTACTGCATACTGCATACTGCAGTTATTCACGACCAGCCGAACGTGGAACCAGTTCGAAACACTCCCAGAGACAGTGTGAGACAGATGGATGAGACTAATGGAAGCATAACACATGATGAGTGACACCTTCAGTTGAAGCCTCGAGGAGTTTCACACTGCACTAAAAGAACCAGTTTCACAGAAAAAATAAACTATAGTAGAGACAGTAGAAGAATGAATCCAAATGTTATGAGTTGCTGCAAAGCTAAAATGTCTATTCATGTTGACAAAAGTCCCAGTGCTGACAGTAGTCTGCAGTTATATTGGTATTTTTACTGCTGGTAGAAGCTTCTAGAATCAGTTTCATTGACAGTTGTTGTTAGTACACAGGTACTGTCTATATAACACATATGGTAAATGGCTGCATTTATATATTCCCTAAGGGCTTTACAAGGTGCCTGTCATTCACCCATTCACACACACACCTACACACACACACACACACACACATACACACACACTGCACATTGCATGATCATCAGGAGCAATTTCAGGTTCAGTATCTTGATCAAGGACAACTCGACATGGGTTGGACAGGGCTTGAATTGAACTTTTTCCCCTAATGTTCCACAATTGACCCTTCCTATGATACATTTCTCTACTCCCAGACATTCTATCTTGGTGTCCCATGTGCTATTTTTATTGTCCCTGGTGCTGTATGTTGACAGGAGGAGTTGGGGATCAAAGCATCAATCATGTGAATAGTGGATAACCTGCTCTACCTCGTGAGATCTCCACCAATTTTACTCATCAGTTTTAAAGTTCCGATTTCGTAGTCAGAGGGAGTGCTACTCATCCTGTGAGAACAGATGTATTCTCTGGAGGAGCCTTGTCAAGTGTGAGAAAATAACCCTGATGATGTAATCAGGGCATAAACAGTTTTTACCAGCCTGGGAGGGCCTAACAAAGACAGTATTGAACTGCATTATGGGAAATGCAGGATACAGCTTCATTGGAGACATGAGCACATAGTAAAAGTCAGGATATCTCTGCCTTTGCTGCATCAGTTTTGACCAGTTTTTTTTTTTTTTTTAAGTATATTTTTTGGGGCTT